TTATGAAACAAAAACAATCATATTTTGCTCAATATATGTATGTACAGTTTCAAATTGAAGTTTTTTTTTGTTGTAGAGGATCTTATTGTTTATTTCCTTACAAAGCCAGGTTTTTTTTTAATTCGTTGTTTTCAACAGATGCATGACAAAAAGTGAACTCCTTGAGATTTTATAAATGATTCTTGTTATTAGGAACTAAAGTCAAAATTCATTTCATTCTTACTAGTTCACCCTGGGGTACTTAATTGCTTCTTTATACAATCAAGTGATGCTATTATCTGCAATATTAGACATTAAAATAACTTACTTGTGCTTGTTGTCTGGATTGAAAAGAAACTTTGTACTTGGTTATTTTACATACTACAAAATTAAAAGTAATTTAACATTTATTTTAAGTGAGTTAGAGGTGTTGCATGTAAACTTTTCCCTTACACTTACTTTGACTATTAGCGTATAAGATTGCCATTGGTAAGACGAAGAGCTATGTCTTGTTGGGAATGAGATCGACATTTGGAATATTCATGCATTCCCTTTTTCTGTGATGTATTAATTACAATGTGCATAATTATATTAGGAACTCTATCTATTCTTCTCTTATTTATATTGACACTTATATCTTCCATTGCTCAGCATAAAATGCCATGCTTGTATAATGTTTCTAATCCTTGGATGGTGATATTAGAACATAAACTGCACATCCGAAAACATTTATGATGTATTTCATGTTCGACTTTTTCATACTTGATTTTGGTGATTATGTGTGATCTTATTAAAATGTGAATATTTCTAATTTCTCATGTACTAATCTTTCATCCCCATGATTAGTGCACTATGATATATAATAGTAATTATTAATTGTCTTTGGCCTCGAACGTTCATTTTTACTGGACACCCTTGTGATTTTTGCACGATTATATCTTTTGATTCTTTAAGTATCTTTGCCCAAAGGGTAAACACTTTAAATTTTCTAAGACGTGAAAAAAATAATACCTCAGTGAAAAAGTATTTACTTTTTTGGACAATCCCTGAAGGATCGCTTTGATCTATGGAAACCAATAATCTTCCCTCAAACGCAATTGGCAGACTGAATCAGAACTTTTTGGATTTCAAATACATGACTAAATATGATTCAGTTCTGTGCCAAATTATCTAGCAGCTGAAACTCTGTAAGCAGAACATTACAGACAATGATAAAATTGATCGAAAAATTCTTTTCCCTATTCCACGCAAATAATATTATACTCCAGTAGCAGTACATGACCAAGAATTGCACTGAGCATTCTGAATTGATTAGTAGTCGCAGATAAGCACAATTAATTGATGATTAAAAATCACAATGTCAGACTAGTTAGCTTACGAGTTGTGTTTGTAGCACATGCTACAATTCAGAAAATTACTTATACGCGTGGACAAGGGGGAGGCTATGAACATAGTAGGAGATCTTATCATATAGCCAATTTTGGATTTTAAACCCTCGACTGAATACAATTCAACAAGTAACCTTGTACTCTTACAATAGTACAACTAAAAGCATTATGAACTAATCCTTGTATTAGTAGTTGTTAAAAACACAACCAGCTGTTGTGAGAAACCATAATGCAAGTTTAATTGGTTCAGTCATAGTGCCTGAAGCACATGTCATAATTCAAATTCATAAGCTCGGACGAGGGGGAGGTAGTAGATCTTATTGAGGTGGTCAAGGAAAACTATTTGGATTATATGCATTTGTCAGACAATTTTAATTTATCTTGATTTTGCTTTAAACTCTTGTGAACCTATGTGGTTTTTATTTATATATGTATATCTTAGAATTTGTCTGGCCTAAAATACACCATGTTGCGATAAGTTTGAGATTTAGGGACCCAAATTCTTTTAAACTCTGGCATGAGCGATTGGGCCATCTTAGGCAAAATATGATTCGTCAGATTTTCTTAAATTAAATGGGGCATTCAAACCAAATCCGACCAACTGCATATCATAATTTCCCCCTTTATCTAATACGTGGTGTAGAAGCAAAACATTTCTCATCTGCGTATTATTTATTTGCAGTCCATGTTTCTATATCACCACCATAGCGTACTTCTATGGGACCTCGGTGAAGGTACATACATTATTTATGAAACTCCGTCAATAATTTAGTACCTATGGTCCATGTTAGGGGATCAATTTACAATTTAGTACGCTGACTGTATTTTTAGTGAAGATCAATTCTCGACATTAGGGGGAGATTAGTGCCCAAAATACAAAATAATGTCAAGAAATTCCATTGGTGAAAAAGATCTTCAATATTTATATCCACGTACTAGTCAAACTGAACCAGAAGTTCACATGATAATCTGCTAAGAAAAAAGTGACTAAGTCCCATATTCATGTTGAATATATCATTGATGATTTGGTATGCCAGAAGCATATTGTGCCAGAAGCATATAAAACATGTTAGTGTAAAAGATAAAAGTCCGCGGCAAACTAAATTATATATATAGAAAGACAGTCACTCCCATAACCTCCAGAAGAGGTTCATCCTGAAGATAGAATCTCTAGTAAATTGCACGTGCACTTGATAATCACAATACTGGAGATGCGGAACAGCCAAATCCAATTGTTAAGGGAAATGACAAGGATTTGATTGACATAAAATAAGCTTTGAAGTGGTCACGAATTTGTGAAAAAGGAGAAATATATAATAGAAATATAAAAGTTGTCGACAACATAGTTGCCTCTACAGTTGCTCTTACTATCTCCGAAAATAATCTGGATCCAGAACCTAAGTCGGTAATAGAGTGCTTGAAGCATTCGGACTAGGTGAGATGGAAAGTGGCAATTGAGGCTGAGCTGAAACTCGCAAAAGTATTTTGAACCTGTAGTTCATATATCCCTGCAGGATATATATGGGTCTTCGTAAGAAAAATAAATGAAATTGTAAGGTGATGAGATATAAAGCGAGATTCATAGCTAAATGGGTTCACGCAGAGACCCGACATCGATTTAGATGTAAAATATTCTCCTATTAGTGATTGTATTACGTTCCACAAGTTAATATGGCAGAAACTATGAATATATATATGCAGTATATGTACGTCATGACCATATTTTTATATGAGTCTTTTATATGAAAGTCCCTGATGGACTTAAAATTCCTGAATTAAGAGAAAACGAGAATCGCAACATGTATAACATAAAATTATAAAGGTCGTTATACGACTTGAAATAGTCGGGTAGAATGTGGTATAACCGACTGAGCGAGTTCCTTCTGAAGAGGAGATATGCAAATAATGATGTCTGCCCTTGTGTGTTTATAAATAGCTTTTGTATTATATCAGTCTATATTGATGATATAAATGTTATTGGAATGCACAAGGAGCTTACAGAAGCTAGCTCATGCCTAAAGACGGAGTTTGAAATGAAAGACTTGGGAAAAACCAAGTTTTGTCTCGGCCTGCAGATCGAGCATTTTCCCAGAAGGAATTTTTCTACACCAGTCAACCTAATGTGAAAAAGGTTTTGGAAAGATTTTATATGGATAAATCTCATCCACTTAGCACACCAATGGTCGTCCGGTCCCTCGAAGTGGATAAAGACCCATTTAGACCCAATGAAGATAATGAAGAAATGTTAGGGCCAGAAGTTCCCTATCTGAGCACCATTGGAGCACTTCTTTATCTCGTAAATTGCACCAGGCCAGATATTGTATTTGCGGTGAACTTGCTAGCAAGGTATAGTGCTTATCCTATAAGGAGGCAATGAAATGACGTTAAACATTTCCTTTGCTATCTTCAAGGTACAAAAGATCTTGGACTATTCTATAAAAGAAACCAAGATATGACATTAATGGGCTATTAGGACGCTCGCTACATGTCTTATCCCCATAACGCCAGATCCCAGACTGGTTATGTTTTTCTCTGTGGTGGTACTGTCGTTTCTTAAAGGTCTGTTAAGTAGACCATGGTGACTACTTCTTCTAACCACTCAGAGATTATCGTTTTATATGAGACCTCACGAGAATGCGTATGATTAAGATCGTTGATACGACATATTTGTGGCTCGTGTGGTCTAGTGAAAGATGATATTCCCCCCACTGTCCTTTATGAGGACAATGCAGCTTGTGTTGCACAAATGAGCAGTGGATATGTAAAAGGAACCATGACAAACCATATTACGCCAAAATTCTTTTATCCATATGAGCTCTAAAAGAATGGCGAAATCACCATTGAAAAAGTTCGCTCAAGTGACAATCTTGCAGATTTGTTCACTAAATCTCTGCCTACATCAACTTATGAGAAATATGTTCACAATATGCATAGACTTGAAAGACTATCTTCTTCAGGGGGAGCAAATTCTTAAAGAACAATCCTGAAGATTGGGCCCTGAAGGTCTATTATCATAGATTCATAATTTGTCCCTTTTCGCTAAGTTTTATCCCACTGGGTTTTTCTTAGCATAGACTCAGAAGATTGTCATCATCAGGGGGAGCGAATTTTTAACGTAATCCCGAAGATTGTGCCTTGAAGGATTATAGTTGTACTATTTTTTCCTTTTGCTAAGTTTTGTCCCACAGGGTTTTCTTAGCTAAAGGTTTTTAATGAGGTAACTAATGCAACACAAATTTGGATCCCGAAGATCTATAGTTGTACTCTTTTTCCCTTTGCTAAGTATTGTCCCACAGGGTTTTCTTAGCTAAAGGTTTTTAATGAGGCAACTAATGTAACAATAATCTACTAATGTCGTGTACTCTTTTCCTCGACTAGTTTTTATCCCACTGGGTTTTTCTAGCGAGGTTTTTAACGAGGCATTGACATCATGTAGTAATGTCCAAGGGGGAGTGTTGTAAATATAAATACAATGAATGTGGACATTACTAGAAAAAGTCTCTTCACCTACTTGTGACTTTTAGTATTCTCTTCCACATCTATATAATGTAATCCATGGAAGACAAAATGTAATTGAGGAGAAATGAGGATGAATAAAATGAAAATGCTTCGTGCTTTAAATCAAGAGAAATTTTCGGCGCTCATTTCTTTTATTTCTCACTTCAAGACATGCTCCCTTTAATCAAATCCCTCATCTCCTTCCCCGGATTTTCTCTCTCATCAAAACCCAAAACCCTGAATCAAACCCTTCACAGCTTCTCTCTCCTCTCCTCCTCCTCCTCCTCCTCCTCATCATCATCATCAAACCCAACCATTCCTCAATCTCCCATTGCTTCCCTCTTGCTCTCCAATAAGCCTATCGAAGCCTTTACGATCCTTCACCAATCAACCTCTCAACAGCCCACAAGATACTACAACTCAACAATTGCTGCTCTCGCTGCCAACAACCTCATCGGTCCTGCACACAACCTGTTCGATACAATGCGCATGAGAAATATCGAGTTTAACGATGTGGGTTTTGGTTGTTTCATCAGGGGGGTCTGTAGATTTGAAGGACTGGACAAGATTCTTTCTTTGGTTGAGAAAGTTAGAGAAATGGGTTCTCCAGTTAATGGGTCGGTGACCGCTGCCTTGATTGTTGATGGGTTTTGTCGAGCTGGCAAGATCGAAGAAGCTTGGGCTGCGTTGGAGAAATTGAGGATGATTGGGTGGAAACCTGATTTTATTTCGTATAGGATTGTGTCGGAAGGGTTTAGGTTGGTGAATAGGGTGGAGGAGGCCGGGAGAATATTGAAGCAGAAGAGAAAGTTTGGGGTTGCACCAAGGATTAATGATTACAGAGAGTTCATTGTTTGGTTGATATCGGAAAGGAGAATCTCTGAGGCACGGGAATTGGGTGAGGCTATTGTTTATGGAGATTTCCCAATTGATGATGATGTGCTCAATTCTTTGATTGGGTCCATTTCTGATGTTGATCCAGGCTCTGCAGTGTTCCTATTGAAGTATTTGATTAAGAAGGATTGGTTCCCAAGTGTTGCATTGTTGGGTCATATCAGTGCAAAGCTTTGTGAGATTGGAAATGGCGGTGAGGTTTGGGATTTGTTTAAAACCCTTTTGGATAAGGGCTATTTTGTTGGAGTTGAACAATATAATTTGATGGTGTCACTTTTGTGTAGAGTAGGGAAGTTGAGAGAAGCTTATGATGTGTTTAAGGACATGAGGAAGAATGGTTTTGCTCCGGATATATCATCTTACAACTGCTTGATGGAAGCTTGTTGCAGAGAGGACCTCCTCCGTCCAGCGAAGAAGTTGTGGGATGAGATGTTTGCAAAAGGGTGTTGTCCGAATTTGAGGACTTATAATATCCTCATTGAGAAACTTTTGCAGGAGGATGAAGTCAAAGAGGCTCAACGTCTCTTTCATCATATGACTGGTAAGGGGATACACCCAAATGATTTTACTTATAAATTGATCATTAGGGTGTTATGCCAGGAAAAGAAAGTGGAAGAGGCAGTGGATATCTTTAATAAGTCTGTGGAACAGGATCTTGTACTTGCTAAATCAACACTGAGCATATTGATACTTGCTCTTTGTAAAGAAGGTATGCCAGTTTTCATGAAAGGAATTTCACGTGTTATTTATGATTTTGTTTTAATAGGATCTTTTTTTCAATTTGTTAATACTTAATCTCATATATTAAGTTTTGCTAAATTGTTCCAATGTGTACTAACTCCTTCGCTCCCTATATGACAGAAGCTAAGTAGCTCTATGTATAATAACTGTTAAAATCCCTTTAACCACTACACCAAAACTCCCAAGTTGTAGTGAGGGTTGAGGGTTTATATTTTTATACTCTAACATGCCTCTACAGGTTTATTGACCAAAACCTAGACTCACGCAGTGATGTCAATTTTTTTTTAAAACATGCTTTAAATTCATGGCCGGTGGGATTTGTTCCTTGGTTGCTCTAATACCATGTCATAGTGGGATTTGTTCCTTGGTTGCTCTAATACCATGTCATAGTGACTTAACCAATTACACCAAAATAGTTATTGTGAGGGTTGAGGGTTATATTTTTATATCCTAACAATAATATTGTTCATAATCAATCTCCGGATATCATAGCTTCGGAAGAAAGAAAAGTTACGATGAATACAATCAATTATTTCCATTGCAAAACCATATGAAATCCATATCGTAACTGACTGTAACTCAATTTGTAGTCCCACTGAGGAGAATATATAGTAGTTTGGCTTCAATCTAAAGTTAATATTTTTAATATTCTATTATTTTCAAGTTAAAGCTGTAGAGATGGCTTTAGGCTCCTGCAAGTGAAACTTAATTAGCTTTTTCTTATGATTAGAGTTTGTTAATCAATATATATAAGCCAACTCACCTTTTTCTTCGGGAGTTAAAGTATTGCATAAGGCCCTGTGAGCGCGATTTTCTTTAACGGTCCTGAAGGATACGACACCTAATTGAATTTTAATCTGTTTTCTACATATTTATTTCGTGTTGCACCATTATAGCTATTAGTTAGCAAATGCTTACAGCTCTTGCGAACCCTAAGTGTGACCGAGCTGCGTAAATGGTGGGTCAATATTTTGCTGATGTTCTGTATGATATTGTGAGCTAGAAACCTACATAGAAATTGCTTATGCTATTGTGCTCTATATTTTACTAGCAAAGCCATAGCGAAGTCAATTATATGACTGGACATGCTCTCCATTTTTTAGAAATTTAATTTCCATGAGGCTGTCTTATGCTACTGTTTTGTTCATCTATAATCACTATTCCCTTCTCTTAATCCTCTTATTCTATGCAGCTAATTACATTGAAGCTTCTAATGTTATGCATGGACTTCCTTCCAATATTGAAGACTCTGGTTCACATGTTATTTTGCTAAAAAGTTTAACAGATGCTGGAGAAATTGAGATGGCTGTTGAGCACATGAAATGGATTAAAGGGAACTTCTCTTCTAAGTTTCAGATAGTGTTAACTGAGCTAATTGCTTCTCTATCTACTGCACCAAAGCTGGAGCCAGTCCTGCAGTTACTTCGGCTTATGCATGTGCATGGCCTTATTTCTAATGACGATCCTTGGATGAAAATGTTGGCAGGTGTTGTTACCAAATCATGAAGTAGCATGACTTCTAATTTGTGGTTTAAGTAGCTAACAACCCTTTTTCAGATAAATAACATATGATTTTCCTTGAAGGTGACTTATTTTCGACTGATTCCTGTCCTTGAGATTTACAATCAGTTGGTTATTCCCTCTCTTGAGCAAACCTGAAAAATTAGGCAGGAGGCAGCAACGTTGTTCTAGTTTACTGTGGCAACTCCTGTACAAGGTAATTTATTATTTATCATCTGTCATGCCCATTATGAGATATCAGTAGTTTCTTTTCTGCCTTGTTATTAGTACGCAAATTTAACCTACTATTTTCGTGTATCCTCTTATAATGTATGCACACAGATGCAACCAAGGAGAGTTGTGAAAAGGTACCTGAATGCTGACATCAGATAAATTTGCTCTCTACAAAGGAGCAAAAGCTGATAAGAAGTGGTACCTCCTTGATGATCTTAAAGAACTAGTACATGTTTGGCACCTGAAGGTTACATTACTAAACAAATTATTTTACAGCATGAGGTTGTTGTTCAATCGTATCTAGGGACTAGGATATCTTTAATTATATGCTTGAACTTATGTGTTCAGCTTGTAAATAATAGGGATATGATATACATATTTATTTTAAGGAAGTACAAAATTGCCATAAGTTGGCTTTTGCTAGATTTGCATGGTTCATCTTGCAGTTTGCACCATGATTCATGTATTCAAAAATTCTTTTCATTTCTAATTAGCATTGACGTGCTCTTGTCGTCAAAAGAAAAAATTGTACTCTTACTATAATACTATTCTATGATGTGTATAATACTGAATCATCGACATTTTGTTTTAGTTAAGTTTTGTGTGATTCCTGTCGACATTGTGAAAATAACTTTGAAATTCACATTTGTATATTAAAAAAGCTCTGAATTGCAACTTGGAAAATATCCTATTAGTTGGTCCAGAGTTTCTAGGACGTTGTCCTTTATGTCATTTGCAGGATACGACAATCAAATGAAGAGATCTTAAATTTAATCTTAGGGCGCTTTCTGACGCAATCTTTTCACCTGGGTTGTGGATGAGAATATAATTTTTTTCTGATGATGATGGTCACAAAAAATAGTAATTAAAAAAAAGATACGACAGACCATTCTCAGTTCTTGAAGAACCTAAAGTTCTGGATATGTCATCGAGCATGTTAACAGGGGTTGTGGTAGTAAATTAAGCTGGGATATTCAAATATCATGCTCTATTCGACATTCCATGTTAGAGTTTCTTGGAGGATGTTCATTAGGATCTTGCTTTTAAAGTTCAAACTATCTTCCTATCCATTTTCTTCTTGGGCTATTTTCACTAATACTCTAAATTTCACACATTTTTTTTATTTAACTTGATATCTGAACTCTGAAGTTTATATCTGTCAAAATGAGAACCTAAAGTTGCACCTACTTTACACTTTGATGCTCTGTTAGTTGATCGTTGGAGATTCTGTTCGAATATGTACCCTAAAGTTTTAAAAATATGCCCTTAAATAACCAAAAGTTTTAAAGATGTGCACTTAAATACCGTTAATATTTTTAGAACTTGCACTTAAACAACCTCAAGTTTGCATTCGGGGTATTTAACTGCAATTTTTAAAAAATTTAGGACATTTGAGTGCACTTTTTAAAATTTTAGAGTATTTAAGTGCACGAATTTCAAACTTGAGGGTACATAAGTGCTGCTAAAACAAGTGAAGGTACATAAGTGCAAATTATAAAAACTTTAGGTATACGAGTTTTGCTAGAAACAAGTGAGGATATATAAGTGCAATGGAGGGAAAACTATAGGGTGTTTTAGTGCAATTAAGCCCTTCTGTAAACTGTAAATGGCACTCAAAATTTGGCAAATCAGTTCGCTTAGACCAGCCGCAATAGAAGAGCAAATCTGAAAATATTAGATGCAGCAGTAGAGCAATTTGGATGGCAACTGGAGAGAGAGTGAATTGGAAGGCAAAATTTGCCAATGGGCAAATCTGAAAACTCAGCCCCACACCTGCAAACCCACGCGTCCGACAGGTCTGCTGCAGGCCCAGCAGGCGCAGACGTGTCGCAATCTTATTGGTCCGGCTAATTTTCTTATCCTCCTATTTTTTTATTTAATATTTTGGCCCATAATTAATTGAAATTAATTTTTTATTTTTACATCAATATTTTTCATTTTTCAAGCTCTATAAATAGAGCCTAAAGTTTGTGTTGTGTTGTTTTTTAAGTAATTTTTAAATTTAATTAATGCCATTTAAAAAAAAATTATATATTATTAATTGCAAAATTAATGCCATTTTTAAATATTATATATTATTTATAAAACATATGTGAAATAAATAAATATGAATGTAGAATGAATAAATATGGTGGGGTATATGATAGAGTGATGTGGATGAAAGATAAAATATGGTGGGGTATAGATAAAGTAAAAAAGTACATATTTGCCTTCCTACTGTGGAGCTGAAAGAAAAGAGGGTGCTAAATATTGAATTGGTGGGGACATAAGCTGAGGTGGATGGCAAATATTGCCCATCTGCTGCTGATAGTCTTACCAGAGCGAACCAATATTCTAATGTACTGTCTAATGTACTGCGTTCTAGAATGGGCGAACCATATGGCGGTTCAAGGTGAGGTCCTGCGAATTTCATAACTACGCATGTGATTGCTTTTGGACACTTGTAGAAAACCTTTCGAATACTCCTATTATTCATTTATTCTCTTCTATTTATATCACAACAGTAGAAATGCCATTTAACATCCTCACTGTTAACAGCGTTAACTGCTTCTTAAAAGATTTGGCTACCTTTAGGCAAATTTAAACATCATGGTACTAAGTACTAACATCAACAATCATGATTCGTGAACCTTATTAAATTGAAATTTACCCTTATCTTTTTTAAATTATTCTATTGTTTAGTTTGTGGCATTGTGGTCTTGTGGAGTTGTTCGGTGCTTAAGGAAGGGGAAGTTTGAGAGAAGTTGTTCTTCCTTAGAGGAAAACTTTATTCATTGTTTTTTGACTCCCATTGAGTTGTTGAATTTCTTTATTTTTAAATTCTTTAAATTTTATTTAAAAGAGTGATCTTATTCGAAGTTGACATTATTATTTCCCACCTTGCTAATTATATTTGTAGCTTCTGTATGTCTAGTAACTCAAAGAGATCATCTTGTCTTGGTTCTGATCTCATCTGGCTCCTCAAAAGATCTTAACTGCTAACTACCTTGTGCTTTATTCATAGTTTCATTTCTTTTAAATTTGAGGCCTGTATCTGAGTCTGACTTATCTAAAATCCACATCAACCCAATTGACAACGACCTTCTGTGGGCTAACAATGGAAGTGCAGATCTGTAATGGCTCTAAGCAATGAATCTAACCTTGTCACATCAGAATGCAGCTAGAAATTATTATGGTTTGTGTTTTTTCTCACTGGTTTTCAACCAAAAAATTGAAACTTGCTAATTCTCTCTATTTTAGATAAGCTATTTGCTATTGCTGTTTGAGGGATGAAGTTGGTGATTGCACTGCCTCTATAGAAAATCATAGAGGTAGGAATTTGGTGATTGCATTAATACAATATTCTGATTTGTACAAATTTTTAAGTTAGTGTTTTCTGCCATGATAAATATTCTGATTGTGCTGATATTATATATTGATTGTACTGATACAAGGTTGATAATGAGACACATAATGTTTTCTTCCTCCTTTTATGATTTTCTTTAAAGGACTAACAGGAGTTTGTTCGTCTTTCAGTCATCATTGGCCATCAATCTGGGCTTACACTTTCTAACCGGTGATCAAAACCTAATAAATATGGCTTTAGGTAACTGAATTGCATATTCATCTCCAATATTTTTTTTCCTTCCTAGGTGTCCTTATCTCTAATAAACTAGGATATTCAGCTATAGTTCTTTTTGAGTGGGCGAGTGCTTTCGGCTCACCAGTTGACTTGACTTAAGCAAGAGACATGAGAAACGCATGAAAGACTTGACTTAGGGGGAATAGGGACACAAAGAGGTTGGTCATCTATGCTCCTTATTCTGTTTTAATTAAGCTTTTAAATGTGGTTGTTGACTAGTTATTTATTAATCCCTACCTGCTACAACTTTGGAATAAATCTGTATTCATTGGTTCCGATCACACTTGGGAAAAATTTTAGAAACCCAATTTACTTGAATAAGCTCCTCTCTTTAGGTCTTATGAGGTCCTAAGTGGGACCCGCTCGGAAGATGTCTTCTTGCCGGGCGATCTTGAAGATGCTATCGGGAGTTAGGATGGGAACATGTATGCATGGCGTGAACAAATTAGGAACTATTTGATCGCCACTGGGACATGTTACACCAATTGTAGCTAATCAATACAGTTGCAATTACAGTTACAAAAATATCTCCAGTTACAATTGATGACCTGCACAGATTTTGATGTAAGTTGCGGTTACGACGTTTTAAGCAACGAAAAGATTTAAATTGCAAGTCCAGTTATAACCAAGCAACAAGAGAAATTAAAAAAACTTGGCATCCCTAAAGAAACACCTGTGACAAGAATTGTATTTTTTTTTTCTTTCTTTTTTTATAAAAAACTTTGGAGTCGCTTGTTACAAAATTTTATAATTGAACTAAGCAACTGCCGCTACAATTGCATTTAACAGCATTTGCTAGAACTATAGAAATTGTAGTCGGTAACTTGGACTTTCATTGCAATTATAGTTGCAACAGACCAAACAACCCGAAGTTGCATAGAATTGCACAAGACTCTGTGTTTTATTCTCTTCTTTGCTGAGAACCAAATTCCACAGAAGGCATGTTCAAAATTAAATCAAGCTGTATTCAGCTATACTGTAAGGCATGTTCAAAATTAAATCAAGCTGTATTCAGCTATACTGCTATACTTTGAGAGCTAATACATTAAGTTCCAGAGAAGTAAACGTTGTACAATCAAACTATATTAGTTCTAATTCTTAATAAGAACTATTGTTGATACTCATCTTTAAATTCTTTTACCAAATGCATGGCGCTTGTATTTCTTTGTAGGAACAGGTTTGTTGCATAAAATTGCTCTTGGAAATACTGTGTTCTAACCTCATTTCTCCTTAGAACAATTTTATTTCGAGCTTTATTCAGATAAACCGTGAGAGATAATGCATTACGTTCCAGACTAATTATATAGTTCTGCAGACGAACTATAATAACTGTAATTCTGTAATTCTTTTCTTAAAAGCTATTATTGCTATAATGTAAGTCTCAATCTATGAATTCTTTAACTAAATTCATGGCACTCATAACTCCTGAAATTAATTATTATGTGCATAGATGCAATGACTTTTCTACCCAAGGATGTCTGATATATTCATGCTTCAAAGTCCGAGCTGAGTCTGTGGTTTGTTCCTACTCAGATGGTGACTTTGGATGGCCCTTTTCTTTTAGGTCAGTAAATGTGGAAGTACTTATCTATTGACTGAGAAATGAGTCTTGTGTAGTTCTGGTGGGGATTGTCTTGGATTTTCTTGATGACAAGAGGTCTGCCTATTGACAGCGAGAAAGCTGTTCACGTTAGACATTTCCTTATACTTTCTTCAGTTAAAGTAGAAGGCTTATGATAATACGAGAAGCTGACCAAGCTTGTCCCTATTGTCTTGGGTCAAAGAAGGTTTTCCGAGCCATCATGTCCCATTGGTTCTACTATAAAAATGTTATAAAAGATAGGAATGGTCCTGATTTTAGCATAAGTTACTCATATAATGAGTCAAGCATCTTTGGCATTTATACCCTTCAGAATTCTTTTCTGTAGCCACAGGGTTTGAAATTTTGCGTTCGCATGTGCTTTTTCTTCAGTACTGAAAGTTGCATTTTATAAGTGCATGAAAAAACAAAATTTCGGAGGGTGTCTAGGCAAAACAGAGTCGATTGCGTTTAACATATTGTCTAAAATGAAAAAGATTGATCGATAATGATAATGATACGTATCACCTTCAGAAAACAAAATCCCTTCCCCTTCTTAGCCTTCTATATATACTTAGAGCAAGTCTTTGTTCCATCCACCAACTTGAAAAGCACTCAACACCGGCAAACATTCAGGAAGAGATGGCAACTGTCCCTAAGCTTCTCCTGTCTGTTCTCCTCCTCTTTTTCTTTCTCAAAGGTATCACTTAAGACTCTTTCATGTTTTTTTTTTCCTGATTTTTTTCTCCCTTAGGGATTATAGAAATTTCCCCTACAGTTTCCATTATCGGTGAAAAATCTCCCTAAGATTTTAAAAGTGACACTTTATCTCCCTCATTTTCAATTCTAGTTAAATAGTCAACAATACTGAATGTAATAATTGATTTTCAATAAGATAATCATGTATATGTTTATATGGGAGGCGTATAATTGTCATAACCTATGATATTAACTTTCACATGCAAGTTACTTCTGTAGAAATTAAAAAGAGAGGGGGTGTCACTTTTAAAAACTTTGGGTTGTTTTTGTAATTTACTATATTTCCTATTCATTTATTGACATCGTTTAGAAACTACAGTGAAAGGCCTGAGATGTGACATCTCAAGTATCGAGATTGGGATCACAAACACTGGAACGAAGTTCAGATACGACTCAGTGTTCGAGGTGGAGGTGAAGAACAATTGCGGATGTACCCTGATCAATGTGTTCTTGAACTCTGAGGGCTTTGCGAGCACTACCAATGTAGACCCGGATATGTTTAGAAGGGACCGCGATGGTTATCTGGTAAATGATGGAAAGGGCATCGCGAGCTCTCACTCTGTCAAGTTTCAGTATGCGTGGGATAGAGCATTCAAGATGACTCCTTTAGCTTTTCAGGCTGCTTGTTGATTGAGTCCTTTTCATATGACAGAAGAGAATTAGATGATTTCGAAGTGTTCTCTGTGTTTAATAGTGTGGATGGTTTTAGGTTAGACATGTATGGTAAACGTTTGATACATAATAGCTGTAATTTTCTTATGATTGAAGTTGTCAACATTAGTACCTCGTAACAGAAATTTATAGGTAAACTCTCATAAGCATCAGTTCAGATTAGTTCTTGTTTTGTGATGACTATAAACCAAATACTTACATCTTTTGCACGCCATGATTCGTGAGGAAGCATATGAAGTGTTATGTGTCAAATGCTCAGGAGATCATGAGAAATTGGTGATTCTGATAACATATTTATTTATTGTGTTATATATGAATTTAGTATATAGTTCTCAAATAAGTTCATTAGGTCGGTTTCTGTTGCAGATGACTTTGCATGCCACTGATTCCCCTGCTTGAGATTTTACTTCCAAGATGATGATTAAACATTTATCACTATTGTCACGCTATATTCTTTTTTGAGCTTGAGTGCCTACTAAACATTTTTTTTTTTTGAATATTTACATATATTATGGTGTGTTACACTGTCAGGGACACCAGTGGAGATTGTAGAAACAAGATTTCTACCCTTGCCCCTTGAACTTTTCAATTTGTCCATACCTATTGAAATATTTTTAGTTTCATCATATCTTCTGCACTTTTCAATTCGTCTTATTCTTACATCTTAAACTGTTTTTAGTCCCACATTACCTTTTGAGCTGTTACTTTTGGTATCAAGTTACCAATTCTCATTTATTAATTTAATGATAATTTAAATGGATAAAATGATAATTCAGGAGGTAATGCGCGCCAAAATATAGTTTAGGGGAATATAAGGACGAATTGGTTAGTTTAATGGGTAAGATGAGACTAAAATAGTTCGGGGAGTATGGAGGGACAAAAGGAATAGTTCAAAGGGTAAGTAGGAGCTTAAACGCAACGTTGAAGGTTGTAGAAGTTTTGGCACTAGAGCTTTTACTTAGGCCCAAAGTAATTGGAACAAATGTTAATTACTTGGTCCCCGAGTGTATTGCTTGGATAAGTCAGTTACATGGGACCAAAATAATTGTGCCTGTAAATAGATAACCTTGACATCAAAAGATATAACAATCTCTCTTCTGAAGCATGGATTCCCTTCATATAACCCTTGTATGCTCTCTTTAATATAGGGATTATGTTAGATTTAATTAGAATGGTCCTATAATGTATTTCATGCTCTCTACATGCATAGCATAATTATACATATAGTCTTCCGTTGCGTATTTTGCATGTATGAAGCATGGATTCCCTTCATTGGAGTCTGTCAGACAGGCTCCGGCCCGCCCCAGCAAGCTCACAGCTACGTTGGGAACGATCCTCTACAGCGTCGATCCACAGTGGACCTCAACCATCAATCACGCTCTGGGCCGGAGTCCACGTGTCATCCACCAGACTAGTTGGCCTGTCTCCTTAGAACTCAAGGATACAGTTGTACGAGCCTATAGAACAGATCCTGTTCAAGTAAGGTCGTGTTTGGGTTTTCTTTTAATGCGGGTAGAACAATGTTTGATCATGTTTCACACGGTTTAGAGCGGTTAGGACTTCGATGATCAAAAGTTAGCTAAGCGTGTCGCTTGTTTATATGGCGACAAAGTTAACAACATTATAGCATTTGATTTTAAATCCTATCAATGGTGAGAGTATTACTGCAAGTATTCTGAGGAATCACACTATATTTGTTAATTTGTGAGTGGATACAAACCTCCGACGCCGAGAAGCTCCGACGAGCTTCGACGAGCTCGAGAATGACGGAGATGACGCAGGCGAAGTCGACGAACGCACACTTCGACGAACGCACACTTCGGCGAACGCACCCTTCGAACTCTGCGCTCGAACCCCCCTTCTCATCTCTGCGTTCGGCCTCGATTCTGGCGTCCGCGGGCAGCTGGCGACAGGTTGTCGCCAGCCCTCCACATCCGCCTATAAAACCCCCTCCCCCAGCTAGGGTTTCGCTGCTGCAGTGCTTCTCCTTTCCCTCCGTGTTTCCCTCTCTGGCGGCGACGAAAACGCCCAAAAACGCAGCTGCGTTTCAAACTTAAATCACAGCAGTGATTTCAATCTCATCTCCAGCTCTCAAACTGTTTGAGGGGAGATTAAGAAAAAGGAATTTAAGAAGAGAGAGAGAAGGGGGAATTAAATAGGGGTTTTATATTGTGGGGTTATTCATTTATTCTCAAGTTGATAATTGATAGGGTTCATACCCTTTAATCATTAACACTGTAGCTACAGTGTTTTATTTGAGAAATCCCAGTTTAGGGATTTGCTCTTGATTTGTAATTTCTTGTTTGATTAATAAGAAATTATCTGTGTGGCTCCCGAGGACGTAGGCAGTTGCCGAACCTCGTAAATCTTGGTGTACTGTTCTCTATACCGCGTTTCCGTTGCATTAGGGGATTTAGGCGTTAAATTCCCAACAATATTTACAGTAAAGAACAACGTTGGAATATCGTAAGGAACTGAAAAGTACTCTCCATTTACAAGACATTCTTTAAAAAAAACTCTTACTTCATCAACTAGGAACATTTTAGAATATACGTTACCGACTAATCAGATCTCTTCATTACGATCACTATCCGAAATGTCTGATAGTCTAGTATTTATTCTAAGGACATTATCTGTATATTTAGAACATCAGATAAATCTGACCAAAATAGCATACTATCATTTTGAACAAGGATGTTATATACATATAGGTCCTGTTACAATATACAATAATTGCCTGCAGGGCACCTATATCTAACAAACTCCCACTTGCACTAAGGCCAATTATAGTATCTAATACCCAATAGCTCAACAAGTTTCTCAAATTGTGAACGAGCAATTGCCTTTGTGAATGGATCTGCTATATTATCTTTTGTGTCTACTCTTTCAATCTTGATCTCCCGGCGATCAACTATCTCCCTGATCAAGTGATACTTCCTCAGAATGTGTCTGGACTTATGGTGAGATCGGGGTTCCTTTGTTAGAGCTATTGCAGCATTATTATCACAGTATAAAGGTACTGGATCTTTAATGGTGGGAACAACTTCCAGCTCTAAAAGGAACTTCCTCATCCAGACAGCTTCTTTAGCTGCATCATTAGCTGCAATGTATTCAGCTTCCATAGTCGAGTCTGCTACTGTATCCTGCTTGGAACTTTTCCAGCTGACAGCTCCTCTATTGAGGGTGAAAACATATCCTGATACAGACTTACTATCATCGATATCGCTCTGAAAGCTTGAGTCGGAAAAAGCCTCCATTCGGAGGTCACTTTTACCGTATATCAAAAATAACTCTTTAGTCCTTTTAAGGTACTTAAGTATATTCTTGACCGCTTTCCAGTGCTCTTCTCCATGATCAGATTGGTATCTACTTACCAAACTGAGTGAATAAGCGATATCTGGTCTAGTACATAACATGGCATACATGATCGATCCTACTGCCGAGGCATAAGGAATTAGACTCATGCGTTTCCTCTCTTCATCAGTCCGGGGAGACATCTTTTTAGAGAGGGAGATTCCAGGAGATGCAGGTACAAAACCTTTCTTGGAATTTTCCATGCTAAACCGTTTTAGCACTTTGCCAATGTATCTAGATTGCGATAATCCTAACATCCTTTTAGATCTATCTCTATAGATCTGAATACCCAGTATACAGGATGCTTCACCTAAATCTTTCATGGAAAATCTTTTTGATAGCCAAATTTTAACCGCTTGTAATGACGGTATGTCATTACCGATTAAGAGTATATCGTCTACATATAAAATAAGAAACGATATAATACTCCCAATTATCCTTTTATACACACATGGTTCATCTGGATTTTTGATGAAACCAAACTCTTTGATAGCATCATCAAAACAGATGTTCCATCTCCGTGATGCTTGCTTCAGTCCATAAATAGATTTAAGCAATCTACATGCTTTTCCACTGCTCCCACTAACTACAAAACCCTCTGGTTGCGTCATATATATGCACTCTTCTAAATCACCATTTAGAAATGCAGTTTTAACGTCCATTTGCCAGATCTCATAGTCATAGTGAGCAGCTATAGCAAGTAGGATCCGAATAGACTTGAGCATAGCCACTGGAGAAAAAGTTTCATCGTAGTCCAAACCAGGTCTTTGACGAAAACCTTTAGCTACCAGTCTAGCTTTAAAAGTCTCTACTTTTCCATCTACACCCAACTTTTTCTTAAACAACCATTTGCAACCTATGGGTATCACCCCTTTAGGAGCATTGTCTAATATCCATACTTTGTTGGTGTACATAGAGTCTATTTCAGATTTCATTGCATCATGCCAAGCAACAGAGTCCCTACTCTCAGAGGCTTGCTGATAACTTAAAGGTTCGTCATCATCTATGACGTGATCTAACATGCCACCTTCAACTAAAAAATTATATTGTGTCTTAGGTGCATGAGATCGCCTTGGATATCTGTGGAGTGGTTGAGGTTCTTCTGGTATAACTGAATTTGCTGGTTCCACTAATTTATCAGTAATATTTTGTATCTCTGAAATTTCTTCCAGTTCTACCATGCTCCCACTAATTTCTTTTTCAAGAAATTCCTTCTCTAAGAAGGTGGCATGCCGAGAAACAATTATCTTTTGTTCATCGATGTGGTAGAATTGATATCCAATGGAATTCCTTGGATATCCTACAAATTTGCATAATACTGAGCGTGCCTCTAACTTTTTGGGATCTTGCTTCTTTACATAAGCATGACATCCCCAAATCTTAATATAATTAAGATGTGGTTT